TTTCTTCTCCTTGGTCCCTAGAACAATGGGATCCTGTATATGCTCTGAGCTCCAAGGAATAACTGGTGATATATCAAATTAACAAAACTATCAAATTAACAAAACTTTGCTGAGATATTAATGCATGAGGCTATGCTTCTGCAAAGGAGTACATACAGCTCCACAGGAAGTACCACCTATCACCCAGACCTCACAGGACTTACATTAGAAATTTAGGATAGTGTTATTTATTCCAGTGATTCAAATACCAGTAAATTGAAGCACACAAAAGAGCCTTTAAATTAATGAGACAAGCACTAAGCACCCTGAAAGAGGACAGGTGGGTTTTTTCATTTTGCTTATGGGTATTTAGTTAGGGAAAGATCATGATTTGTGACTTACTTTCATCTTAACATTGAGGTGGTGTCAGTCTTTCTTACTACAAATCTGAAAAAAAATATGTAACTTACGTATTGAAATTAAGATAAAAGTCTTTTGAAGAGAGGCTGAAAGGTCTTCTGTTCATTGCAAAGTCTTTTAATTTTTTTTTTTTTTGAGGAAACACTAAGCCATCTGAACAGCTTCAAAACTGCAGCAGAGCTGTCTGAGTCACATGCCTACAACTGCCATTTAAGGTAACCAAGTCTGAAAAGTGTTGGTTATTGCAAAGTCAGAATTCTATAAAAAAAAATTATAAACAGCTATAAGTGGGATGCAATTCCAGTATGAACTGAATAGAGGTGTGTTACAGAGAAATAGGTAAATAGGTAAATACCTAAGTCAGTTACTCATGACTGTTAAGCAGCATCATGCTTACAGCCACTGATCTACTTGCCTAATATTCAACTTCCAAACAAGCTGTCATGGTTTGAGAGCCCCAAAATCCAATTCCCTAGTTCAACCCCCCCCCCCATCTCAACCCAGTGTGAGATGGGTTTTCCAGACACCACACAAGACTCAAAATGGGGGGAAGGGAATATATTACAAGACTGTACAACAAATAAATAGTATAATACATCATATACAATCTTAACTATCTCTACCATGACATACAGTATTTACAATGGATCAAATCTCTTCTCCCTTCCAAATAAAAGTCCAGGAGGGAAGAAGGGAAAGATCCTTTTCTCTCTCAGAGCAGCAGTCCCTCTAAGGCAGCAGTTTCTCTCTCTGTCTTCCATGCAGCAGCTGTAGCTGGATCTCTGCCAGTACATACGAGGGGATATCCAAGCCCCTCGGCCCTTCGTCTCCAAACGAGGGTCTTCTCTTCTGTGGGCTGCGTAGCAGGGACAAGACTCGCCTCACCACATCATATCATGGGGTGTAAGACATCCCATGAAGGTCCCTTCCTCGGAGGACTCACCCCTGAGTCAGAACGTCATGGGCAGCTTTCAGTTGAAGTCCTTTGCCTCAAGAGTTCTATCAGAGCTCCTGTGCTCTGATCTCAGGCTGCTAGCTTCTCAGCAGCCGCGAGGGGGGAAGGCCAAGGTCACCCCCTCCACATTCCTTTGGCTGTCCCGGTCCAGCTTCCCGGGACATCTGAGCTTCTTAGCTCCTCTTTCAGCAGTGCTGTAGCATTTTTAGGACTCCTCTCAGGTGGGAGTCCACCACCCCCTCCTCTCTATGAGAGCAGAGGTCTCCAAGGAGTTTGGGGGTTCTGGTTGAAGTCCTTACCCCAAATTCTCTCTCTGTAGAACTTAGTTCTCTCTCTGCTGCTGCTCTCTTTCTCTTCAGACAACTCTGTGTCTTCTTGCCTGGCTGCAATGTCTGTTTGCTGCTCCTTATCTACTGTTGGCTCTTTGCCACCGCTTCTCCCCGTCAGTGCCGTTCTTGCTGCCGCTTCTGCTGTCCACGGTGGAGGAAAAACTCAGCTACAGATACTTAGCCCAGTATTACACTGTTCCAAGTCCCTGTAGCCCCCCAGTCGGGGGCTGGGGGCTGTGGCCCCCCAGAGGGGCTCCTGCCCCTTCCTCGTGGCTCACAAGATGGCCACCTCTCCTCCAACAACTACTACAACTCCAACTACTACCCTTCTCTTCCGGTCTTAGTGATATGTTTATATTTTGCAGGAGCACTGATTGGGTCAAACCTCAAGGGTCACCACCCCCTGGGGGTTTACCATTTTACAACACTAGGGGGGAAAACTGTTTCCCCCACCACACAACTGTTTGCAAATTGGAAAGAATTCCTAAACAAGCTACATGAGTGACATGAGCTATGGGAAAATAATACGGCATGCAGTTCCCAAGGCTCAGTCTACTTTTTTTATCCATAAAGGACTTGAGCATGACATAAACTGTATTGCTGTGTCTCTCCTCTCAAAATCTATGTAAGCAACACAACCACAGCTTCCGAAACTATGAAACTTTTCATTTTTTTTAAAAAGGGAATATCTAGCAAAATGCATCACATGTTGACCTTTTTTTTAACTATTCACAAACAAAAACTTCTGTAAAGTGCTTATAAAATGGGTGAGACAGATGAAAATACCTCTTAGCTAAATTGATGTTCTCAAATTAATTCCCATGCCTGCAGCACATTTACCTTAGCTCCCCTGCACCTCACCATCACCCTTTTATGTTTCATTTACACCTTACTCTTCAAGACACAATTTTTCTCTTAACTGCTGGCAGACAAAGGATTTCCTTTACTGCCATCCCCTTTTCCCTGTGTCTATGGTGCTAGTACTGACACTTGCCGTCTCACTCTACACATGACTTTAAGATACAGAGGGTCACTCTCCCAATTGGTAAGTGGGCCCACCACCGATTCGATTCCTTACCCACCTGTAATGACACATGGTACAAACCACAGCAATGACACAAGGATGCACTCAGAACTGCACAGCTTGATGGTACAGAACAACCATTTCAAGTGAGAGTTGTTTCGCAAACTGGCTGCTAAACCCTGCCTCTAGCAAGCTCCACTCCTGCCACTTTTCCTAAGAGCAAGCCACAAGAATATGAAACCTCCCCAGGTAAGAGAATATATTGTGTTTAACTTGCAACTAAATAGGGAAAAAGGCTTTAAAAGCCTCCTTCCCAGATCTAAACTTTCTTCTTTTTCAGAGCGATTTACAGCAGATTCATGAAGAGCAGAGGATGGTTGAAGGGCTGTGACTGGCCCAGGGCAGGGGAACGTGTCTGAGAGGGATAGGCAGGCTCCACAGGAGGAAGGTGCATGAAACGAGACTCTTTCACACAAGAAACAATTATGTCAAACTCCCTTTTGGTTTTAAGCATGTTGAACTACATCAACTAACACAAAATGAAAAGCACTATTATGCTTCTCTTGGGGGAACACGTTGTTTCCAAAGGAAAATGCATCAGAAACATGTTTATTGTTTCATCCAAAGAGTAGTGCCAAAGAGGAGATGGAAACCATTGTTGCCGTAAGAAGTTGCTATATTTTGAACCACAGAAACATAAAATGGTTTGGTTTGGAAGGGACCTTAAAGATTATCCAGTTCCACCCTGCTCTGGGTAGGGACACCTCTCACTACACCAGCTTGCTCAAAGCCCCATTCAACCTGGCCTTGAACACCTTCAGGGATGGGGTATCCACAGCTTCTCTGGGAAACCTATTCCAGTGCCTCAACAGCCTCACAGTAAAGAATTTCTTCCTAATACCCAATCTAAACCTACCCTCTTTCAGTTTAAAGCCATTCCCCTTTGTCCTATCACTACATGCCCTTGTGAAAAGTCCCTCTCCAGCTTTCTTGTAGGCCCCCTCTATGTACTAGATGGTGCTATGAGGTCTCACACTCCCTAGGGCTGTCTTTTGGGGAGTAAAGGTGACTGCTGCTACTCCTGGCCCTGCCTACACCTCGACAGCCGCTCTGGTGAAAGCTGCCAGCTCCTGGTGGCACTCCCCTGGGGTTCCCCTGGCTCAACTGCAATCCTCCACTGCCCTGTGGGATGTGCCTGCACTGGAGCTATCACCTCGGTGAATTGAAAAGAACCCAGAACTCAATATGCAGTTACCACAGGAGTTTTTCTGAAATGCTGGCCCAGTGCAAGCAGCAAAACTGGGCTGGAGTTTCTCAAGCTGTATCCAGATCACCTAAACAGTCAATGTGGCACCCATAGGCAGAACTTAGGTGTCTAGGGGGATTGAGATGAGTATTCTTGGGGGCTATCTCTTAAAACCCCTGAAAATTAATAATTTGTTCAATTAATGGCAGCAGTATTTCCAAGGCATCCACACACAGGCTTTCAAGCCTCAAGCAAGCCTTAATGTTAGCATTATGTAGCTTGGTGCATAAAAGCTGGAACCCAACTTCACACACAAAAGCATTCCCATAATTCAAGGACAGGCAATGAGACAAACTCCATTCAACCTCTGGAGAAGTCCACTCTAAAGACACGTTCTCAGCTGGAATGCACTGAACTCAACACAGGGCTCACTAGTTAAGGCAGTTTTCTCCTAAAACATTGAGGTGAAAAGGCAGTGTAGGAGGACAAGTGCCTATTTAAATGACTGGAAAGCATTAAAACTGGCATAAGTGATGCTCCGTACCACTTACAGCTCTTGTTTCTTTGAGTGCAGGGTGAGAGGTAAGAAGAAACATATAGGAAAGCAGCATTCCAAAGTAGGAAAGATATAGTAAGGTGGCAATGTGACCCCTGCAGTGGGAATCTTTCAAAAAAAATACCAAAAGCTAGTCCCTAGTAAATGGCTTAAAAACTATTATTGTTACCATAATTAGCTGAAGTGAAATTAAGGATTAGCTATAGGTATTTTGTAAAATTCCTCACCCTTTTGATTTAAGCTGCACTATTCAACTCCACAGTGCAGAATTTTCTGAATAGCAATGTCACAATTTGCTACAACATCACAGGCAAAGTTTATAAATAATATAGGAAAATATTCACTTGATTGGGGAATATCACTTAGCCCCTGTTTGCAAGGCACAAGCGAGCTTTCTAAGCACACAGGACTTGAGCTGCTTTTCTCTGAGTAAATAATCCTCTCCTATCACACACATATAAGCACATCCCCTTGCAAATTAATGTTCTTACCTTATCTTTATTTTCAGAGTCAGAATCCTCACGTTTGGTCCGAATGACAAAGGGAGTAGATAATCTCAGGAGAACTCGTTCAAATGTGGCACTGATTTTAGGAGAAACTATGTCGAAGCAGTCTTGAAATTTCAGGGTTTTATGAGTGTCACATCTGAGCTGCTTCCTAAGACCTTCTCCAAGCTGGAGAACCAGCATGTTTGGATCAAACATCAGGTGAAAGGGGAAAGCTCTGCAGAAGGTGCTGATGCTAATCCTCAGGTCTAAGGGGGACTGGGAAGTTCCTGGTGGAAGTGCTTTTGTGATATTTGCATTTTCATGTTCTTTGATAAGGAAAGTCAGACAACTGCAGTTACCTGGGTTTGTCCCCTCTGAACACAACTTATCATTTGTGACCTGTTCTACTTCCACTTCCAAGTGGTAAATCTTCTTTGCTGCTGCTTTTATCATTCCTGTCATTGCAAATCCCACAATCTGATGTGGGTGAAAGTAATGAAGCATGAGATTGCCTTCAGGCAGTTCTTTGCATAGGAAAGAAGGGGATTCCAGGGTGGCCTGTCTTCCAAATGAAGTTCTAATATGCTCCAGCAAAGCATCAAAGCCATTGAAGAAGTCTTGAAGGGTCCCACCTACAGCTCGAAGAACTCTTTCATTCTCATCAAAGCAGATATTGAAGAATTCCTCCCCAAACTTTTCTTGCATTTCCTCAAATTTCAGACCTATAGGACAAGGAGACACTGATATCAATAACATATTATTGTTACTGTGTCACGTTTTCCCTTTGTGCTCTATTTGCCCAGTATTTTTCCAAGTCAGTGAGAGTGGCTTTTTCACTGGATACCTAACCCATATGTTTTCTGTGGTGGTTGGGAATAACCACAGAAGCCATTTTTGCCTGTCATTTTAAGTCCTCATGCTTTCAGCTTGCTGTCTCAGTTATTTGTGGGCCTGTCTCCTTTTCCCTGCTGGAATCCAGGATACGTTACAACTTCCCCAACTTTCGCATGTCACATGCTGTGTGAATGCACCCAGCCATGGCTGCATCCCTTCTACTGCTGACCTTCCTCATTCAAAAATGAGGCTTCTACTTTTATAATCCCTCTGTTCACTGCCTCTGTGAGGGATCCAGCTCCCCCCAGGTTGAAGAATAAACTACTGGAAGAGCTCAAAGTCAGGCGTTTGGCTTTCCATAAGCAATGTAAAAACCCTGCAGTCAGATGACACTTTAATAGCTGCTAGAGTGGTGTTGTGCATTTTTGGGTTTTTTTCAGACAAAATACTTCTATCATTACAGGCATTAGGCTCTGCCAGAAGATACAAAGGAATAATTACTTCTTTTTGGTTACCTGCAAAGGAGAGCAAAGCTTTTCCATTTTAGGCTTCTACCTACACTTACCCATCCTTAAAAAACCCTGCCTCTTAGAGCAATCAAAACTGCTAGACGGGACAACTCTGATATCTCACAATGTCACTTCAAGTTTCCATCACAGAAATTCAAAAGGTTTTGATTTACAGAGGTGATAAGGCTGGCATTGCTGAAGTGATGAAAAAATATCAGTAAAGGAAATGTATCAGATCCTGTTCCAGTTTGTTATTTGCCATTTTAAGGATAAGCTAGAAAAATATTTTTGAGATGGTTATTAAACATTTTCCTCTGTTTTATTTCAAGTTAAGTTTTCCTCTGTTAACTTTTGTCAGTACATAATCCCTATATCATAGCAGAGTTACAAAATTCATCAGATATGTTTGTATTGTTTCAAGATGTAATAGAGTAAAAAGAAGTATGAATCAGCTGTATGTGAACTACAAACATCCAGCAAGAATTTTCAAAGGAAATTAATATAGGAATTAACATAGTTCCTTCAATGTATTAAAATCAAATCACATCACATTTCAATCAGCTAGTCAAACACCTTAATATTTATCCTAAATTCAAACAGAAATGAAGGGCAGTTATTTCTTTCCTGAGGGCACAACAGGCCCTTTATTTTTATCTGTATTCAGCATTCTTTATAGCATTGATAATATCCCAGCCGATCACTGAACTTCGCATTGTTTAGATTGCTTAGATGCTTGGGAAGAACAGTGTGATAAGTGACTTTTATGCCCAAGAGGTATAACAGGACAGAAGAAGTCATGTTGTTTGCAGACTATAACCTTTAATAATCTCAAGGCAGTGTCTGAACTGCCTTATGCACACAGGCATAGTTATAATGATCAATATTCACAAGGGATGTGAGTGTTCCCCAGCTTTGCAATCTGCAATGATAGTTTTGTTTGGAACTTTTATGATTAATAGCTGATTAAAATTCATAAAATTACATATATAAATATGACAACATGAGAACATGACAAAGCATATTTTATAAGAGAAGTAATAGCAGTAATTTGGGAAAGTTCACTCAAATGCCATTACTCATAATCAAATTTGGTCACTAAACTAGGTTATTACAAAAATATTCCCAGGATCTTTATGACCACAGATGGTCAGCTCTGCAGTTAAGCCAAAAGAAAGTACCTCTGGTACACAATGCCCCCTAATATCCTGACTCAGAAGACTATGTGCCAATTCCTGACTCATTGCCACTACGTCTGTATAACATGGTGCTGTAATACCTTACACAAATATACTCACTATAACCCAAAAATAATTAAATTCTAACCCATACCAATAATGTCATAACTGAATATTAATAGCAAGAAGCTAAGAAATCATCATATTCATATTCATACACAAACAGATATTCATACTTTTAAATCTCATTGTTCTGTAGAGTGAACTGTGAGCAGTTTTAGTCTGTGTGTAAAAGTGAGCAGTCTAGCCGGGACACCCAAGGCTGGAAGATTGCAGAGGCTCTGAAAGCATGGGAACAAAACAGTATCAGAAACCCTGGGGCTATTCAGACAAATGACCAAATACATCCCACAACGCTGCCCAAAACAACGGTATAGGTGAACTGTCTTTAAAGTGTATTATAAAATTACAGTAAAACAGTTGGTTGCCCTGGTGCCACTAAGTGAAAATAGGTTTTGCAGAACTGATCACTCCTGTACTTTACTGCTACCTATGCAAGCCTCGTCTCATTACCATTAATTGGAATCTCAGTATTTGGCCCAAGGTTTTACTGATTGTTTTAGCTTGGTCTTGTCATCCACCCTGGAGGATTCCTGTTCAGTCTGGATGCAACATACTGACTCCAAGCAACATGAATTATACTATGAAATGCAGGTAAACGACCTGGCTCAAGGACATGCTACTACTTTTAAAAACAGTTTAGCTTGGAATTAAGTTACACACAGTACCAGCAGAAAATTAGATTAGCTCTAATAGAAAAATGAGTATGACCAAACTCGACCAAACTCAGCCAAACTGCTGGTCTCCTTAGACAGGAATTTTCTCTCTAACAACAGACACTAAGAGATACTATGAGATACTGAGAAAATTTAAATTAAGTCAAACAACCCTCTAAAACAAAAATGCATAATGTACCTATCAGGGAAGTTTCTTCCTAAGCCTTACCAACAAAAGATTTTTTGCTTGAAGCATATTTTTCCATTAAAGCAAAAACATCTATTTAATAAATTCCTATTATGCAAACACACATATTTCTGTACAAGGCTATTTGCTTCAGTGATGTGTTTGTGTGAAGTGGCGCAAAATATTTTGTATGTATTTTTTTACTGCCTTATTCCTGCCTCTCCTATTGAAACAAATGATGAACAGATGCATACCTAGCATTAACTCTGTAAATACTTCATTATAACATTTTCATATAACCTTTTCATTATAAATGATGAAACATACAAATGATCACAATCTTCTGAATATCTTATGTGGGTTTTCTCCCTACACATATCACTATACATACCTATTGTAGTTTAAGCCCAGCTGGCAACTAAGCACCATGCATCCACTTGCTCACCCCTTTACCCCAGTGGAATGGGGAGAAGAATCAAAAGTAAAACTTGTAGGTTAAGAACAATTTAATAATTGAAACAAAAGGAAATAATAAAGAAAAACAAGTGATGCACAATACAACTGCTCACCACCCACTGATCGATGCCAGATCTTGTCCCTGAACCCAAACTGGCCCCCCTTCCAGGTAACTCCACCAGTTTATATACTGGGCATGATGTTCTGTGGCATGGAATATTCCTTTGGCCAGCTATGCTCCCTCCCAGCTTTGTTGTGCCCCTCCTCACTGGTAGAGCATGAGACACAAAAAAAGTCCTTGACTTAAGATAAATACTACTTAGCAACAACCAAAACATCAGTGTGTTATCAACATTATTTTCATGCTGAATCCAAAACACAGCTCTGTACCAGCTACTGAGAAGAAATTAACCCTATCCCAGATGAAACCGGGACAATACCAGATTGGGAGATAGTTTTATTACATATAGAAAAATGTGCTTGTTAAAAAAGAATAAATCCTAGAATTTGTTGTCTCTATAGTGCATACTTTATTACATTTGGAGACCTCTACAGCATAGTAACTACCTTTAAAAATTACACTGGTATGATTTCCAATTTCAAAGTATTTGGTATTTTTTCTTTTTCTTTTTTTCTGTGAAAAGGAAAAATCAAAATAATCTTTTTTATAACCTTCAGGTTATACACCTACATAAACAGTACAACCTTTTCAAACTCATCTCACATTAAATTGTTTCTCTGTTTAATTTTGCAGTGGAATAATTCAAATTGAAGATGGCACTGAAAATGTGAGTCAACTTCTGTCCAGCAAAATCGACAATTTGTTATTGCTTTCTGAAAAGCAGGGATTTCCATTCTTTCTTTTTCACTGTGGACCTCTAAGCAAAATTTTCATTCAGCTGCTCAGAAAAAAATAATGTTTGAGATCTTGTATGTGTGCTCAGCACTTCCAAATGCAGAGGTCACTGCGCTCCCACATCACCTCATGTATGACCCCAATATAGCTTTCTAATGAGCCCTTGCTTGCAATTGATCAGTAGGAAAAAGCCTTCCTTAGTTTCACCAAGACACTCCACTAAATGGTAGTGATACAAAAAAAAGCAAAAATCATCCTAACACTCTCTGCTGTTACCTAGCTGGAGTAATTTATTATTTTGAGCTTCTGCTATTTACACACCTACTATTACACTGAATGAAATTCTAAAAATTTGTCAATCTCAGTTTGCTTTCCTCTTGGAAAGGGATGTACTATGTTTCTACTACTTAACCTACTTTGAGAGAACAAATCACATGTCTTAACCCTAATGTTTTTTTTCTTAGTAGTTTCTTTTTGCTGCTTTTTCTTTCCATCTCATTTTTATTCTAGCCCATACTGGAGAGAAACTAAATATGCACATTTGCATATGTAACTGAGTAAAAGAAACCATAGAATGAAAATATTGCTATGAGTCTCCACTACAAAACACTTTGGGACTATGACCAAAGTATTGTATAAGGTCTATTACTATTCTTTGAAAAAGTGTCTCAAAGATATTAAAAGAAGATATCCTGTACTTGTGGGCCAGATTCAAAATTACCCAAGTCTTTAAGAACAGGTTCAAAGTACAAATTAAGTATTTCACTGAACTGAAGCAGAAACAAATGACTTCATTCTGTAATAACATGCTAGTAAAAGGTCTTCACTTTCTTTTCAGCAATTTCTGTGAACTGCGAACCCTCTATAAAATGTCAAGGAATTAATACAATACTTCTAAGTATTTTGTACATTATCAAGAGGGTAAATTA